CAGACGAGGTTAAGATAATAGGGGGCAACCCATTCTCCAAGAAACCTAGTGTCCCACAGTGGTGGGAAGAGAAGCCAGAGGGCCTGTGGGTGAACATCTGTGGGCAGAAAAGCGTGGAAAAGCTCCAGGAAGGATAAGGAACTGAAAGGGATATTTGGCAGAGAAACTGGAGGTAAGGCCAGCCCAAGAGAACAGATTTCTGAGAGAGCCACAGGATGCTGGGAGCAGGAGTGAGCTCACTGAACTGGGCAGGGCTCCACGTTGCTTTTTTCCAGGTTCTTTTGGAAGAAGCAGCTGGGAACCTAATAAACCGGGAGTTAAGAATGCTAGAGCTCTCTCTCCTAGGACCTCGCCACCAGGAGAGACGCCACCAATGGAAACCCCTGATTGCTACCACTATAGTTGAATGTCCAAGACTATAGACATGAAGAACACCCTAAGAGATGGTAAGTGGTGTTGGTATTGGCTGAACCCCTCAGACAAATGATGAGGTGGCAGGAGAGAAGGGTTCATCAGCTAGGGAAATCATGGCTATCCCAAATTAGATGACCCTAACTCAAGAGTTGAGATAATTTAACGGAGCGTCCTGTTTTACTGTATTACTGATAATCTAATGGAGCATTCTGTATTAGCTTCTCTGTCAAATATGTTTCAAAAACCCCACCGTGAGGCATAAGGCACAGCTCTTAATAAACCTGCACACAGATTTATTAAAAACTATGTCTGCATCTAATGTATTTCTCCAAGGTCTTAAACACATTACAGACCTTAACTAATTAAGTTAATTCCTTCAGTTTGATCACTATTTGAGTGACTTCCAAGTGCAAAATAGTACGCCGTGCCAGCTGCCATGGGGGTTTCTGAGAGAAGCAAGACAGCCCTGCCTTCCAGTAGCTCGGTCAGTAGCTTGAATTCAGACAGGGAAAGCTGCACACTTTCCCAAATGTAAGAAACAGAGCAACTTACAACAGAGGAAATAGTTTTCCAGCTCCACGTTTATAGGAAAGTCAGGGATTGTATTAGTTCCTGGCAACTGCAGACACTCCTGTGCTCCATGTTTATCCTATCCTGGTTTACCCCCAAGCACTCCTGTCATAATTGCATAACCGCAGCATGTCATGTTGTTTCTTATTGCAACTGTAACTTGTAAAATTAAACTTCAGAACTAAGACAGTCAGGCTAAATGATTGCCTACATTGAAAAAATATATATGTATAATTTACACACCACTTCAGATAGGCTCTTGAATTATGAGCCCTAAAAGTCAAAACTGTGACTGTTTGTTAAAATGCAGTTTTACTATTGCAGTTCCTCCTGCACAAAAGGCCTATCACTGTGTGTGTGTGTGTGTGTGTGTGTGCATGTATGTGCACGCATAGTTTTGAAGTAGTATTTGCACTGTTGCAATCTGCTTTTCAGGATTTATCAAGAACCTATCTAAATATGACTTACTCCCCTCACACTATGGAACGAAGCTCAAAGCACCATGAGATAGCTTAAAAATGAATGTATTTACTAGAAACATATTAGTAACATAAAATTGTTTCTACTTGGGTCAGTGACATGGCTCATCAGATAAGGGTGCCAGCCACCAAGCCGGACAACCTGAGTTTGACTCCCCTAGGACCTACAAGGTGAAGGAAGAAAACCGACTCCTGCAAGCCGCCCTCTGCCCACATATGTACATGTGCTCGAATACACACAAATACACTCTAAATTAAAAGCAGAGGAGGGTCAGAGATACCTGGAACACACACCATGAATACGGTGTGGGGTCTTCATACCTGTATCATTTGTCATAACCTCCATGCACTGTGGGGTGGAGCCATCCTATAATCATTTCCAAAATAGTATTTTTGAAGTGCGGTGCTTTCTCATGAAACTAAGTCTAACCTCTCCATTATCAGTGAGTCCTTATTTACTAGATGTTGGGGTTGCTTGCCTTACACAGGCAGCTCTGCCTGACAGTGGGCAGGGCTCTACGCAGAAGGCTTGCTGAGAGGCCCCAGGCCATTCCCATGCACAGCCTCAAACCCAAAACTCTGGTGAGTTTCGGTTTCAAGAGTTTAGCCAAGAGGAGATCTGGAATTAAACAGTTTAAGCCATTACCCACAGCCTGAGACAGCAGCCACACAGCAGGAGGAAAGTTACATTCCTGACACACAAAGCGATGCCACGCCCCCTTTATATTCAATTCTAACAACCCCAAGGAAAACAAGGCATTGTATTCTAAGACAACGTGAGCTGAGCATTTTCTGTAAACTGACAATCTTCTTCCAGTGTCCAGCCAGAATTACCGTCATAGTCTCTCCTTTGAGCTATCTTCAAAGTAGTGCTTGAAGAAAACCTTGAAGGATAGGAAAGCCCATTACCTTTTTATTTAAATGTGCCTGTCACTAAAGGTTTTTACATGGCTATTGACACACTTAGGTTCCTCTGTATAAGTATCTCCTGCATTCTTTCGATTTAAGGGAAGGACAGAGACACTTAGCTTTTGATAACTTCTCTGATAAGGAATAGGCAGTAGAAGTGGCCACACAAGAGCCTAGACCGAGCCGTTTTTCAGATACGACGTTGGGCAGAGCTTGCTCAGTGCCAAACCCAACACAATACTAAAACGCCTGCAGCCTGGACATAGTACAAGGTGTGAACCATCTTCATCCTCGGTACCATGTGTCAATCAGTCACAGACAGTACCAATGAAAGGGGGTTATTCTTCATTCATAGCTGTGACTCTTCAAAACATTCAAGTCGAGAGAGAGGAGAGAGAGAGGAGAGAGAGAGAAAGAGAATGAGAACACAAGCACACTAGCCTCAGGTGTTATCTTCAGAAACTTTGTCCACCTCCTTTGAGACAGGATCTTATCAAAAAAGTCTGTACAACACCCTATCAGCACCCAGAAATCTATACAAAATGATTAAGGAAGGTAGACTGGGGAAGAGGTAACAAGAAAACAAAATTATCAGCTTTTTTCAACTTGGAGTGAAAACTTAACCTTAAAAAGGAAGAAGCTAAGAAGAAGCTGGGATCCTCCTAGAATGAACTTCTTCCTGTTGAAGGATGTGGATCCCCACCACCAGCCACACGGTCTGCGGAGGGAGGGCAAGTGGGGTACACGTTCCAGATTTGATGGGGTGTGAAGACAGTTTGTATTCCAAATGAGGTGTGAGCTAAAGGCCAGAGGTACTTGAGGCCTCTGGAGACATCCTCCCGTCTAAGGGGTCCAGAGCACCTGTGTTTCTTTCCTAGCAACCCTGTGCTTAAAACCTAGCTTGCACAGTACCACACACTAGAAGGGATTACATTTCAACGCTGCACTTCTGAGCTCGGAAGTACTAGTGCCAACAGAGTGTCTAATGCCTTTAAGTACGCCAGGCTGGTCTATCACAGGGATCCTTCCTACCTTGTTAAGTAGGGAAGCGAAAGCAGATGATGGAGTCCAGATTAATTTCCAAATCCCATCAACTGGATTTCCAAAAGGCCAACACAGCATGTATTCAGTTAATCATATAACTCAGCTCCAGAAGTACAAAAAACTAGGGGGTAGAAACCTCCATATTCTGCACCTTGGACTTAACAGACCCTTCTTAAATACCACCTAATTTTCCTCCCTCCCACCCCCCCATAGCAGCTGAAGTAGTCTAGGCCCACTCCACCCATGTTTGCTTCCTCCTGGTACAACCCAAATCCACCAAACTCAAAGGTTATTCTCATTAGGTAGAAAGTGAACAGCATCATTGGAAGGTGTTCCTTATAACCATTTGTGTAATGAGCTTCTCAGCTCCTCACACGTCTAAAAGGGGGAAAAAAAGTGCAGGGAATCTGTGGCCAAGCGGCCCCCTCCCAATGTCTGAGTCAGAGTAGCTCGTCTTCACTGAGGTTCTGGTTGGTCAGGGTGTATCACTTTCAGAGCTGCTCAGCAACTGCACTTATGGCTGTCTTCCAGCCACCGAGCATAAGCTCGATTTTAAAACACTTTTCCTAACTCACAGGCAACGAAGGTATCTCATAGGTTGTCAACTTCCTACTGGAAACAAATCACTTCCCTCTCAAACTGTGCTTGCTCTCTCGAGATTATTGCGTGTTTGGGTGTGTATATTTTTATCTTTGGCCAAGCAACTCTACAGGCAAAGAAAGGCACCCCCCCCCCAATTTTATCAACATGCCTGAGCCATTCAGGGCCTTCACAAGAAGAATGAATGGGCGATGAAAGCTCTTCGGCCTAGGGACTTCTCCCACACACACATTATATAGGAGTATAAAAAATATCTCTCTCTCTGGAGGGAGGGGGCAGGGTGGATGATAGGGAAGGACATTAAGCAGCTGAGCAAAGGCAGCCCAGCCGCCGCGGCACTTCTCGAACTGCCTGCAGAGGGGAAAGAAATCTGCTCATGTAATACAACCAAGCACCCTCCGGCTGCCGCGCAAGGGCACGAATAATAAATACACCCAGGAAGCCAAGCAGATGTACAGAAAACAAGCCACCCCGAAAAGGTCAAAACTTCAGAAATTCCGGGGATCATATCCCCCACGTAAACGCATCTATCAGTGGGAACGAGAGAGGGACTTGGAGACTTAGCCAAAGATTCTAAATTTGGGTGTCTTTTTTTTTTTCCTTCCCAGCTCCTGCTTGCAAAGTAACAGTGGCTACAGGCAAAGCTAGAGAAGAGCAGGAAGGCTGAGGGCGGCGCGGGGTGCGGGTGGGAAGGGAGGGGTGTCTCACACCAGCCACCCAGGCCTCGATGTGACGAAAGTCGTCAGCAGCCCTAACCGCATCCCAACCCCTCCACCCTGCAAGCAGACGCCCCCCTCCAACTCCCCCAGCCTGGCTCCGGTCCCTTGCAGCGAGCAGCCCCAGCAGCCCCGCAGCGGCAGCCCAGCCCGAGCAGAGCGCCGGCAGCACGGGGATCGCGGCTCCCATCCCTTCGGCAGACACCCCGCAGGCCTCCCTCCTCGCCCACCCGGGATGCCCAACGCGCCGGAGGTGGCTCCCGCTTACCTTGGGCGCTCGCGGGGGAGGGGGCTGAAGAGGGCAAGCCCCCCACCCCCCGCCCCTCGCCTCCTCGCTTCTTCTCTTCCTCCCTCCTCTACGTCCTCCTCCTCCTCCTCCTCCTCCTCCTCCCTACAGTGTGGCCGGGGCTCCCCCTCCTCCCCGCCGCCTAGAGTAAAAGCAGAAAACCCCGGAGCCGGGCCCGCGTGCGTGCGTGCGGGAAGGCGGCGCGCGGCCAGCTCTCTCCAGTCACTGAGCGCGGCGCGCGGCTCGCAACTAAAGTGTGAAAGAAGCGGTGGCCGCGGCGGCCGCGCCACGGAACGGCCCCCCGGGAGTGGGCAGGGAGCGAGCGGGAGCTGGCAGACTCCGAGCGAGGAGGGAGGGGACCTCCGCGCCCAGGCGCTCACTCGAGGGGCGGGGGCAGCCAGACACTCCCCCGCCGCCCGTCCCCTCCCCTGCCCGGCTCCCGCGCGCGGCCCGCTCTCCTCCCCCGGGGCGGGGCCTGCGGAGGCCGGCGGGCGCGGCGCTCGGGGAAGAGGGGCTGGGCAGCCAGGGCTGCGGGGAGGGAGGAGGGTGGGCTAGCTTGTGTGTGTCTGTCGGCCTGTGTGTGCGTGCATGCGTGCATGCGTGCATGTGTGCGCTGTAGGGAGAAGAGGAGCGAGCTTAGTGTGTGCATGCACACGCGTGCTGCAGGGAGGCCGAGCTCTGTGTGCGAGCGTGTGTGTGTGTGTGTGTGTGTGTGTCCTGCAGGAAGGGCAGACTGTGGGTCTGTGTGGCGGGTGTGGTGCAGCCAGAGCAGGGTGTGTGTTTGTGGGGCGTGTGTATGTGTGTGTGTGATTTCGCGCACACCCGTGGAGGCTGCAGGGCAGACCCAGATAGGAAGGTTGTGTCTCGTCTGGCCTTCCCTGGGCTGTCACTTGGTTGGTGGTGTGGGTGCCGACCGAGGAGGCTTCATCAGGATTGAGGCAGGAGCCGGGAGACGTCTGTCCAACAGATCGACAGACCTGGGCCGCGCAGAGAGGCTGAGGATGTTCAGAGCCAACGAGAGAAGGTTGCACAGCCTCGCCCTACCCCTCCCAGGCCGGGCAGAGCCAGCTGCAGCCAAGGCCAGGAGACCCGCCTCTGAGCGTCTCCACCTTGCCTCGGAGCTGTGGTGCCTGCAAGATGAATGAAGAAAGAAGCTTCTGCGACTTAGTAAAAAGCTGCTGGGGAAAGATGCAGACGCCCTGCTCTGCTTTCCCCACCCTCCCGGGCCTCCTAAGACAGAAGGGGCGAGGCTGCTCCAGCTGAGAGATTGATAAAGGACCTAGAAAGATCGTCCCTGGCCAGAGGGCTAGTTCTTTGAGGACTACCACAGGACAACCAGTCTCCTTCCCTTTGGGAAGGGATACTTTTTTCCTCATCCCAGGGATCCTGGGCCTTTCGTGTGCACACTGAATTGATCTTTCTACACTGATAGCCTTTGCATGTCTTTTGTGCAGCTTCTGCGCGCTTCACTGCTCCTTCATTGCCTTAGACTCGTGAGGAATGCCAGGCCCCCAGAGCGAGGACACCCATGGAAACAATGGTGGTAAAAAGATCCTCCCCAGACCTCACCGATTACACACACAGCCGAATCACTAACCGCATTTAGCCAGGTTGAAGTTGGAAGACAGAAAAAGACGAAGCTGTGACAGTGATATGACACTTAATTGAAAAGCAAATTCATAATTTGGCTTAATTACATAAGCTAAAAACCCACCCATTAAGTGTCTGGAAAGTCGGCCTCTTCTTCTTTAAATTCAATTCTTTTTCCATCTCTTTTTCAACGTCAAAGGCTAATATTACAATGTCCGTGAAATTCAACTTGGATTGCCTTTTTCTTTTTTTAACATACCTATATTTTAGTTTATTTTTCTTTCTGTAACCTGTATTTGTTGCCTAACCCCTCGAAAGGGGGTGGTTAGGAGGGGAAGGTGCTTGTGGAAGTTTTAGTCAGTTTTTCATTCTACAAAGTGGAGTTGATAAGTCTCTTCCTCATAAGCTTGCTATGAAAGCAAGAAGAAGATAAACAGGTGGCACTTCGTGTCTGGCATAAGAAGTAAATACTCAAGAGTGGTCACTTTCAATATATGTTAACCTCAAATTTAGCATGCTTTTTTTTCCTTTTTTACATTTTTTTCTTGAAGAGGGTGGGTATTGCTGCTGAGTTGATTGAAATGTAGTCAACCATTCTCTGGGGGTGTTTAGGGCATGTTCCCAAAGTTTCACTGGTGATAAAATGAAAGAAAAATATAACCAATGTGCAAGTGAATGTGTGTGTCCATATCAACATTTTCACAAAAGCAGCACTGAGGACCATATAGTCTGTTCTTCACCTCAAAGGTGACAAGCCACAGAGCAGGTACTTCATACATGTCCTGCCGAAAGCCCACCTATTCTGTGAACTTTTAAAGCTGGTTTGAAAATTAGTCAAGGTATTACACATTACTTATGATTTTGTTGTTTTGAGTGACAGTATTGTATGTAGCCTCCATTAACCCTGAATCCCTATCTCCCACCCTCTTCTTCCCAAGTGCTGGAATCTCTGGGAATGTACCACCACACCAGGCTGTGAATTTTTTTTTAAATGTGAAAAACTCAGCTAAGTATGAAGAAGATAAAAATCTTCATAAGTCCACCGTCCAGAGAGAAGTACTTGTTAAGTGCTTCACGCATGACTGTTGTCCTTTCATTTATTTTACCGTTCTTCAGTCAGCACACATGTATTAAACACCTCATTAGGGGAACAGATAGTTTACCAGGTCTCAGTTACAATACACTGTTAGTGTTATTCATTCCTCAGAGAAACTATTCATTTGGATCTCATTGACAATGTTCATACTGAGCACAGGCAATCAATCTAGTTTCATGGGGCATGAAACGTTCACAACTTTGAACCATTTTTAAGATTAATTTTATTTAAAAAAAAAAAAGCATCAAAAACTCCTTGGCAGCCGGGCAGTGGTGGCACACGCCTTTAATCCCAGAACTTGGGAGGCAGAGGCAGGCAGATTTCTGAGTTCGAGGCCAGCCTGGTGTACAGAGTGAGTTCCAGGACAGCCAGGGCTACACAGAGAAACCCTGTCTCGAAAAACCAAAAAAAAAAAAAAAAAAAAAATCCTCCTTGGCAAGGGTGGATATACCTGGAAATCATAGGCAGGTCTCATGAAATTGTTGGTAAGCTTATGCATTGATAGTAGAGTTCTTATAGAAATTAACCTGTATTATAAACATTACTTCATAGTACACACCAATTCCTCATTTTACATGGCTCTCTAGACACCTACCTCATGTGCCTTTGCCCACGAATTTGGGAGAGATGAGAAGAGAGAGCTCCACCACCTTGTCCTGCCTGGCCACTGCAGTGATCAGTAGAATGTCATATGGATGGAAGAAGCAGAAAGGATTGCCACCAGGGGCTGGAACCAAATATGCCACCACCCCAAGCAGTAGTGATAACTGCAAAACTGCCTGGCCTGGGGTAGGGGAGACTGCTCAGCACTGTGAAGTGCTCTCGCTGGTCTTGCAAACAGCCCAGGTTCTGTCCTGACACACACATGGTAGCAACTCACAACCATCTGTACGCCTGTAAATCCAGTTCCAGGGGATCCATCACCCTCTTCTGATAACAGGTATACACATAGATGATACAAATACATATGTGCCAGTGAAATGCACACACACACACACACACACACCACATACACAATAAATAAATGAATAAATAAATAAACAAAAGTCTGTTTTTAAAAACTCTGCTTGTACGAGCCATGGTGGTAAACCATCCTACATAGCGTTATCTAACAGAAGTAATAACTAGAAAACTTCCTGGCCTGGGGCTAGAGAAACTGCTCAGCAATAGCCTTCCCAGGACTTGAGAAGAAGAGATCATTATGATCTCAAAATGGCCAGCCAGGACTGCATAGACCCTGTCTCAAGAAATGAACAGCAAAAAAAAAAAAAAAAAACCAACTGCTTGGTCAGCCCAATCTACTAGACATTTCATTGTAAAATAACTTCCCTACTTGGCATATGACTAGTAAGATAAATATAACAAATATAAATAATTATAAAATAAATAAATATAAATAATTTTGTGCAGACTTACCAAAGCATTTTCTTATATAAGCGTCACTACGTGGCTCTTCCACATCCCCAGAATATCCGGACCCCATACCATCCAACACTTTGAATATGACTTCCAGAACGATGGCCCTTTTGCCCAGAAAAGCTACATTTTAATCCTCAAAGATGGGGCCAAGGAGATGATTGATGGAAGTAAAAGCACTTGCTGCACAAGGCAAACTCAGTTCAATCCCAGCCAGGACCAACATAAAAAGCCAGGTGTCATCCCTGCCCTCCTATAACAGAAAAATCAGTAGGAAGCTCCTGGGCCAGTGGGCAGCAGATGAGAGAGAGAGAGAGAGAGAGAGAGAGAGAGAGAGAGAGAGAGAGAG